AGTTGGCGGTGGCAGTAGTGCACACCACAGTCTGGGAAAAGAAAATTCAAATGTGCAATCAAAAGATTTGTTTACTCTTTTTAAATCAGATCCTTTGTAATGACGGAAAATGTAAAAGAATAGCAAAAGTTAAATGAAGTCCTATTTGCCTCTCCCAACAAATAGTGCAATTTAAATAATATAAAATTAAGAAATTTGCTACTAATTTATTTCCTTGTGAAAAATCTTGCCTTGACTAACATTAAGATAAGTCCGGATAAGTCTAGTTATCTGCAGAAAATTTGTCGTCCTGGTTATAATTTTTGGCCATGTGTGTGTGGCTAAAAGGAGATAATTTAACGTGCTCTTGCAAATTTTATGACTAGGCCCGTATACACGCACACAGCATAGTTTTTGGTGCTCTGCGTACAATAATGCAAGTCTCGGGCAGGAAAGTCAGGTCGTCGTCAACAATGTCTGCATGTCGTCTCACGTTTTCCTTGTTGATGACATTTTGCGTCAACTTTTATCTCATTTCGGTTAATATGCGAACTGCCGGTGTTTAATTCAGCCGCCCTTTCACGGATTATATCTGATGCCATCTTGTTTCGGAGACGCAAACAAACAAGGGCACTACTTTAATTACAATACCGCATCCTTAACTCGGCTGGCGCGATGGTAATATGGCGAACTAACTTGCTCTTTCTATAGAATGACATGCGAGCGTTGTTCATATGTGTGCGAGCGTTTATTGTGTTTAATGATATGCCCCGTTCTCTCTTCGCGACGCAAACAAAGCCAAAAGCGAAGGGCCCAAAAAATATGTAGAGATGCTGGCGCCCCTGCTCGCGTGGTTTGAAGGGCTGGTGCCAAACTGCTCGTTTCTCGGATAAATTCACGACGGGAGCCAAAATAATGCACTTTGAATACATGTGTGCCTTAGCAGACAGACAGACGCAGACCACGGAGGAGCTCAAGAGCGCACTTGCAAAACACATCCATGCATAAATATATGCGAGAGCATTTGTGGCGGGCACTAAAATTTTATGACTCAAAAGACTCCTTGAATTTTTTTAACCATCAAATGTGATGGAGGTTTTGAAATCCGGCCTGAAGAACTTATTGTTCGAGTAGTGATTTCAGTTTTATAAAAAGTTCCAAATTGCTTTCAATTGATTTCTTAAATTATATAAAAGATTTATATAGTTATAAGTTAAGTTTATTGGTGTATGTATCACAAGCTAATCTGCCAAATCATTCATATATTTAAAAATTAAAGAGAAAAAAATTACTATATTATATTAATAAAATGATACTTTCTTATCTGATCTGCTTTATTTATCTTGATGATATTCAGATTGTTAAACTGAAAAAGTATTTTAAATAAATTGCTTTTCAAGAATAATGTTTAATTTCTAAAATGAAACAAAAATTTCAATTTGCGAAAACAACTAACAAAAATTAAATATTTTTAAGAATTTAAATAGTTAACACAACAGAGGAAAATTGCGAAATTTATATTTTTCTTTGATTGTCCCGCAAATAGAAACATTTATTATATTGAAATTCTAAGAGTACAACCAATTTTACTTATATTTTTTCTTATTCAAAACCGACTACCACGGCCACGAAACAAAAAGGCTGTGCTTTGACCTCCTTTGCTATTGAAGGTAAAATTAAAGTGCTCTTTTCCGCTCGGTGCGAAAGACAGTAGGGCATTTATTTTGTTATCTAAATTCGAGTGTTGAATTCTGCTTTTGATCGGGGGAAAAAGCACACGTGTATAGCGTTTGATGAACTAGTTTTCAAAAAAATCATTTCCTGGCAAGAATGAATATATATTTGATTGAAATTTCTGCAATTCGACATGTTTTGGTGATTTGGAAACAAATTTTGTTACTTACACCCATTTAGACTTGTCAAATTTTCTGCATTTGTATGCGAAAAATTAAAAATCCAAGCTACAATAATTTTTCTATCGATCGCAAAGAAATGAGTGGCCATGTTTACAAAATTGAATCCTACTTTTGGCTTTTTTTAGAATATTCGTTCCAATGCATTTCTCACCCTTAGAAAGAAAAACCTTTTCTTTTTGTAAATTGCAGTGATAACAGAAGCAGTTCGAGTCCCACTTTTGACGGGAAAAAGGCAATTACTTTTATTTTGTCGTTAAGTGTGAGTTCATGGAACTGCTTATCATTATCATATGAGCACAAAGTCAGTTTAAAAAAAAAAGAAACTGGAAATAAAATTTAACTTAAAAAGCTAAAGGGTCAAGGTTTCATTGAAATTACATTATATACTGCGGATTTTTTCGCCATAATTAGATAGGGAATTTTTTCCCATAAAGATAATAAATAAAACACTTTCATTTTTACTGAAAATAGATTTCATTTTTCTTTTTATTATCAGTCTCAATTTTTCACATCATGGAAACTGAAATCTATTTAGATATTTAATTTTGAATTTAACCCATCTTAAAATCTCTACAATTAACTTTCTTGATAAAACTACAAAATAAACCCCTTTCAATGGCCTCACGGCTGCATTTTGAGAGAGGCAGCAATAACTCGACTTTGGCTTTTCACGGAAAAAAGGAGTTAATCTCCTATGGCTGCACACGTGTGTGCAGTGGCATGGCACCCTCTCATCCCACGTCCGTTTGTATGCGGTGCGCGCGAGGGGTGTGCAAATATTCGCAATAATTCACCCAATCCCCTATATTCAAAGTGCGCGAAATATTCAAATTCTTTCTTTATTAAGTCTATATAGATGTCTATAAATAACGTCTAGCGTTTAATGAATTCAATATTGCCGACGTGAAATATTTTCTTCGTCGTCTCCGTGCCGAAGCACAGCGACGATCCACCCACCATGAGCAGCTCCAGAGTAATCAAATGGGACGAGCAGCGGCGCGTTTTATGGCCTCAATGATTATTACCATTCCTTGATTAAGGGGGATGGAGTGAAAATATTTATGGTGCAGCCCTCTCGCTAGAAATTCACAGACTTCCTTTATTAAAATCATCAGCACTTTTGCCGTGGGCGTGTATAATTGAAAACAATTCAGTTGAGCGTAAACTGTTTTTGAACGTGCAAACGTTGTTTCCAAAAACCGAGCGCATTTTGAGGTTTTGCGGCGGCAAAAGTATAAAAAGTCAGTCCCTCTTTTTATTTCCGCGGCGGGCGAGGCAGAGAGCTGGCGCGGTCGAATGCAAAACATTCAATTGCTGCCATATTTTTTTACGACTTTCACATTCTTTTCTGGCCCGGAATAATAAAATAGTTTGAATAAAATGAAGAGACACCGCAAACGCATTCCGAAACGCATTTCTCACCCTATCCGGTTATTTTTTCTTTTTCAAAATCATATTTTTGGAAAGGCAGTAAATTACGTGCAGTTCTGAAATCACTTGCAATTTTTCAAGAAATAAAATTATAAAAATATATTATTTACCCTTAAAGTTCTGTTATAATTTTAAAATTTTAAAACCTACACCAATAATTTATAGATAAAAAAATGGTGAAAAGTTTTAAAACTTTTTTAGACAGTGAATGAAAATTAATTCAAATTTAGAATAAAAAATGAAGATGGCATTCAAATTAAAAATATTCTTTCTGTTATAATTTTCCTTTCTTTTTAGAATATAACCATTCATTTAAAAAATAACTTTTGTATAATGTTGGCCTCTCAAGCTAGATGCAAATTTCCCAAATTTCATTTTGGTTAGTTGAACCATCTTGCTGGTGTTAATTGTCAATGTATGCATGGAGAGCGGTGCGAATTATATTGCAGATCAGGGAGCAGCTATCGCGCAGTATAAATTATCGCGCTTCCTCGGCACCCGCCCCGATTATATTCCAACTCCTTCAGCATCCTCATTCATCCGGCGAGAAACTTCTCTCTCGTCCTTATTGTCGAGTTTGCGAGATCGCAAACCAAAATTTACATATTTTGCGATATTGAATGCCGCCTCGCTGCCAATTTCTGATGTCTCAAAGGGTCGGGGCTTATTATTCTTGCATCTTTAAGGAGATGCAAATTCGCGCTGGCACAGATCTCCTAGAGGCTTTTATTATCATGGTGATGGCAGCGAACCACTATTTGCCTATGATGTCTAATTTATCGGGGGATTGACGCCGTTTACATATTCATCAAACGCACACAAGCGGAATTTCGAAGAAATTTAAGCCTTGGGGGCGACATGCTGATAATCAAAACACAAACTGGAAAGCAGCTGGAAAGGGTTTGGATCAGCTACGTGTGGAATAATTAATATTGGAAATTAATGTATAGAATTATTAAATAATTTTGCGAAATATTACTTATCACGAATTTCTACTAATCAGCTCATCATTTAGATACATTTCGTTCCTGTAAAATCGTTTTTTTCCTTCCGATTTTGCGAATTTTAAGTAAATTTTGATATTAATCTTACACACTTTTTAATCAAGATATCGACCTCATTATTCTTGGAAAGTGCCCTGCAATATTTCATGTTCTAGTTTTTTTTTCAGAGTTCAGGAATTTTATAAAATTTAATATTCATAATATAATTGGTAAAATATCACTGATTAAAAAGTTTTAGAATATAAATTATCCTCAATATGAAAAGATGCTTAATCTTTACATTTAATTTTTTAAACTGAATATTTTTAATACTGTATTAATTAATTATTAATTTGTAAAGGAACTAGCAATGGAAAACATCAGAGAGCATAAATATCTTTTGGACTAATTTGCTGCTAAGTCACATGTTATTTTTTGAATATTTTCCGCACCTTTACTTTTTTTAACTAATTTTTTAATCTATAACATATTTTTCCTATTTTTAATAAAAATTTATGTAATTTATTTTTATTTTCGTTACATAACAATTATTACCTTTTAGCGTAGCTTTTGGTTTTTCATGGCTACCAGCACGTATCTGTCCTTCCTGTGACATTGTAAAAAGCGATGCAGATGTTGCAGCGTTTAGCAATGGCTTGACTTTGACGAGCTAGGATGATATATTGCCTGGGAACTTCCGCTGGTCTCACTATATAAATGCTGGAGATAAATGCAAAATTAACACAAAAGTACCTGGACCAGGGACCTGTGCAAAATGCGTACCGCTACAACTGTAAGATTATGTTTCAAACTGCTATTTCTGAAAAATATTTCCTCTACTGATTACTTACAAAAGATTTAGGATTTTAAAAGATCAAATTAGTTGTCAAATGCAGAAACTGAGCGAAGGAAATCAATACTCTGTGGAGCCAATTTTCAATCTTATCTACTCAACTTTTGACTTTTGAAAATTTCAATTTAAAAAAAATATATGTTTGCAATTTTTAAATACAAAATTAATTTTAAAAATAAAATTACAAAATTTATAAATATTAAAATATATGTGCACGTTTGGCGTAACAATCCATTTTCAGATAATTATTATTTCATTGATATTATTTGATTTTAATAAGACGACATATATAAATTTTAAATATAAATAAGTTTATTTGCTCAACACTTTGAATATATTAAAAATTTTCTACATTAATCAACGTTTTTGATAAATTACAAAAAAAAATTATTTTTAAACAGGTTATTTTCCTCGCTGTCACTCTTGTGGTGATCTGCACTAACACTTCAGCTGAACCGGAACCCAAGAAAATTTTGGAGGAAAAAAAGGCAGTTTCTGCTGGAAACTTCAAAAATATCAAAAACAGTGGCAATGTTGAGGGCAAGACCAAGTCAACTCCTGGAATCAATTCAAAGCTAGGAGGCAAAGCGAAAAAGGTTAGAAGGGTCGGTGCTAGAAATCCCAACATCAGCACCACCAGAACCACCAGCACCACTACTCCCGCATCTGTTCCTGTTGATGGGGCCGAGAAGCCTATTGACAGCAAACCACCTGTCGAACAGCCAGCACCAGCTAAATAAACGCTGTATTGCAACATTTGAGTACTAACCATAAATAGTACCATTTGGAAATCATTTAATTTTTTTTATTTCATTCTTCATTACATTTTTTAAAGAATTGTTGTAAGGAAATATTTCTGCCAAAAAATAGCAATGTTATTTTAAATGGCTATTTCTTTTTTATCACAATTTATAAGTAGATGCCAAGGGAATTTATTAAAAAAACACACTTCCTAAATTGATATAAATATCAACAAAGGAAGTACCACTAAATCTTATAAAATAAAAATAAATAAAATAAATGAGTAGTTAGACCTCAAAATTTAAATTGATATTATGAAAAATGATTCTGTTAAAAATTTTCCTTCTTATAGAAGATACTTTCATTTTTTGCATGAAGTTCAATTGAAAAATGGCATCGAAAAATATTTAGAATATTTGAATAATTAAATATTATTCTTAATTAAAAAAAAAATACCAATTGAATTTTTTGAGCCGCTAAATTATTGTGTCCTCTATCTTTCTTTTAATTGTGTTCATTTCTGACACAAGGGAACTTAATTGAGCGTTATATCTAAAATTTTGGAATATTTTGAAGGAGGTTTTTTTATTTTAAATGAAATTATAAAAAAAAATACTGATGTGAAATTGCATCCAAACACTTTATGATGTTATTTGGAAACGCTCAATTATTAATATTTTACTTTTGAGTCCAGTTATTCATCATCTCAATGTTGCATTATTTTCAAATGTGAGCAAATCTCCGTACAAAATACGCAAATTTAAAGTTTTAGTCAAGCCCAAATAACTAAACGTGTTCCCACATCAATCGCGTCTGCTGCCGCGGAGTGAGCCTAGAGATGCGCGACGTCAAAACTATATTTCAGATAAGCTGTCATGCACACCTCTGCATCTCTCTCATCGTGATTACAAGTTGATACGTTTGCCCGGGGCTCTCTCTTCATGATTTTGATTACGCGTAAAGATGGGTGATAATGACGAGGAGCAAGAGTTAGGCAGCTTCTCTATCGCATTATGTGCCCGCCGCCCCACTTCGGCCCTGAGGTGAGCCACCTAGCTGCAAAATCACGCATGCTAATTCAATTTGGGCGTCGTAATTGAGCACTTGTGTTCTGCCGAAGACGACGACACGGCGCGTGATATCTTGATCGCACTTTCTCATGCGTGCTCCTCGATTGCTTGGGGCAAACTTTGGAGACGATAATTATCCAATTGTAATTAGGTAGATAATGTAAATTGATCAGTTGTGTAAAAATGATTTTTTTTTCGATCGAAAGCTTGTTTTTAATAATATAATGGAAAAAAAACTCATTTATTTAGGTAAGGTTTCTTACGATATTAGATAAAATTGAAAGAATTTTAAAAAATACATAATATATAATAAAGTAAAATAGGTGAATATTATTGAATGAAAAGTGAAAGTTGTGTTTTAGTTGTTGTTGTTGTTGTTGTTGTTTTTTTTTTTTGCTACTTCACCATAAAATTTTGAAAAATATAAAGATTCCATGCTTACAAGAAAATAAAACTTTATTGTAAATTTATTTGGTTATAGTTAGACACAAACAGTTTTTTTTTTTAAACAATTTTTCAAGCAGAATATCCATCTCAGCAGAAGGTGCTTTAATCATATCTGAAGTCAATACCTCTTTATAATTTTTATTTTGACTGCTTAAAGTTGTAAAGGTGTTTCTTCTATTTAACACAAAAATAATTTTTTCAACAGTTTAAGAATTTTTAACAAATATTTGATCTAAGAATAGCCACAAATCTAGAAACATTATAGTTAATTTAGTTATTTTCATTACATTAATTAAGCTTACATAGTTAATAATTTAAGATCGTATAATTATGTTGTGATAATTCATACCAATAATTAACTGTTTGATGAAGCTGATCTTATTTGAATCAAATTTTGCTTGAGAAGTGTTTATCTACCAAACATGTGCTCACACGCATCCTTGGTGTTTTCTCAAGGGAGAAAATGGCAAACAAGCCATTTTCATAGGAAACGCACACGTGCTCCCTATTAGATGCACTTTGGCTGGAAACACGCAGTTTTATCGCCGTTTGCGCGACCATCATTATTATTAACGACATACCGCAAGTGAGCGTTATTTAATAACGCGTCAAGTGAGTGTTTGTCGTGAGCAGCTCAGCAATTTGCATAAAATACGAACACATAGTTTTAGCCTTAAGTCGCCGCCGCCGCCACCGCGACTTGAGGGGGTGTTTGCGCCATAAGTGTGCAGCGCTAGGTACAATATGATTAAAACACACGTTGGCTGGTAACAATGTGCGCGCGTGTTCTTATCTATAACACACTTAAGCACTCGCCATCCACCAAACTAAACCAACACGTCCACCCCCGCCGCCCTCTGCAACCCTTGGTGGAGGCGGCACGAATATCTTACTCTTGACTTACTTAAAACCTCTAACATCCCCGTTATTATCCTTAAGATGTTCTCAAACTACGTTATACACCTGTTTCAAACTAACTATTTTCCCATCCAGCCCCAAACTCATTTTGCACCTCCTAGCCGCTGCTCATCCCACGCGCGCTACTCCAATAGAGGTACCATTATTATTATTGCCATTACTGCTAAAGTGGCGCGCGCGAGGTGCTCGACAAGATCTGGAGAGACAGGGGCCATCGAGTACTACGCAGACCTGTGCTTTGCTAACGAGGCTAAAAATTAAAACTATATCAACGCCGTAATTGTATGGGCCATTCCAGCTTTATCTAGGTCTAATATGCTCGATTAATAATTTGATGCAATAAAAGTAGGAGATTATCTCTGGTATATCAACCTTCAAATTTGGTTCTTGAAATTAATAAAGAAAAACATTTAAAATTGGGTTTAATAAGGCAAGCAAATTTGCATCATTTAATCAAAGATTAAAAAAAATAATTGAATAATAGCAATATAATTAATAAATTTCCATCTTCCATTGCAACTTTTAACCTTCATTATTTACTTTTTAAATCAAGCGTGCTAAAACAGCTCAAAGTTCGCTAAATTTTCTACTCAGAAGGGAATATAGTTTCTCTTACTAAAAAGTTTTAATACTCGTTTATTTGGGACGATTCTATTTATTTATTTATTTTTTATTTTTATATGCGCGCAATAAACAATTTTTTTGTATTCTTTTAAAAAAATGACATCTTTTCATTTCCTTTTTATTTATTTTCTTCTGATTTCTCTATAAGTGATGAAAGTTTTGAGTAGAAAAATGTTGGAAGTACACGTTTGTGTTTCAATCCTACGCACTTACGGTCAACACGGTAAAAATAATATATCAATATCGTGTGGAAACCCCCTCAGCGTGAGAATTCAACAAGCGGCTCGCTCATGTATTTAATAAATTTATAGCGAATAAATGTGTAATCGGCGGCAAGCATCAGGTGCAAGTTTGCTTGTACCGAAATTATGTGCCGTGTTCTTATATTTCTTACACGCTGCCGATCCTACACAAAGCTGCTTGCTCTTGCAGAGACACCAGCAGACGGCGAGCTCGTTTCAATACGCATATTTATGGCGCGATCTGGACCACATTTCACGAGAGAGTCCGTCTGGAATGTCTTTTTCGCTGTTGAATAATGTGCGGACAAAAAGCGGAGAAGACTGATTCTTTCATGCGCATTGACTGAGTGAGACCTAAAATATAATATTATAAGTTTTAAAATTTCAATACCACCTAACAATTCCCAATTCAAGGATCTGATAATTAGATTTATTTGAAACAGTCAAAGAATAAATGTATATATTTAGATATAATAAATCATTGTTTTAAAATTTATCTTTAGAACTTGTATGAATCAAGTTTTTATCAATTTATCTGTAACATTTTATTTAAAAATAAAATAAAATAAGTATAATAATAAATTCTTATAAAAAAGCATAAATAATATATTAATTAAATAAATAATGCTATATTTTTATTACAATATAAAAGAAGTGTTAAAAATAAACAATCAATATGGCCTAATATTTATTTGGATTTAATTAAAGACCATGATAAGGAACTAATATGTAAGGTAGTAACTTGTAATTCTCTTTAGAAAAAGCAATTTCAGCGTTTCCAGTAGCGCCGGCACGACTCACAGAGCGCCGCACATAACATTTTATCACCTCCAAATTGATAATTCCACTCAATAGCCGTTGCTTTTTACTCGGCCCGAGGCTGATAATCGTTAGTGTTATTGGTCGGGAACGGTTTGTTTTCTTCTCATTTCGGCCGCGTATGTACGTGGCCGTAAAAGTTAATTGCGCTGCACCGGCCGGAGAAAAAAAATCAATTGAGTTTGCGATCAGCAGCCGAGCCCGTCGCCGCTTCTCGTCGTCGGTGCGATCAAATAAAAAGGTGCAGAGGTGTACACAGACACACTTCTTGCTCATTTCCCACGCCGGCCCCTTTGTGCCCATGCCAATTAATTAAAGCGCACCGCTGCAATAAATAACATCGGCGGGTTGTTTGGAAAGTTTGCAGAAATTTGTCGGCCAATTTGGCACCGACAGCACACGCCTAATTGATTTTAAGTGCGATTAAATTGCTGCTCCTCTCACGGGAGACGCTCAAAACTGCTCTCGGTGGAATTCAGAGACAGAGAGCAGCTAACCTGCAAAACCTATTTTGTTCTTTGCAAAGCTCAAAATAATTGATTGCGCGACCGGATATTTGATACAAATTTATTTTTAAAAATAAATTTAGTTTCTTTAAATAATGCGCAAATTAAGTTTAAGTTCAAAGCAAATGTCACTATTGCATATTAATACGCATGACACCAACCGCGAAGATAAATATAGATATATTGAACAAATCCCCTCTAGAACGAGAATACGTTATAAGCTTTCTGTCGGTTGAGCCATTTTATGCCAAATATTGTGATGCACATTCAGTGCTGAAAAACTTTCAAATAAAAGATGCCACTCAATATAATGCAATCCACTGTTCAAATTAAAAGTTTGTAATTTTTGATAAAATGTAATTTTTCCAATACACAGGTGTTTACTCAATTCAATCTTACATTACAGTATTATTCAAAATTTCTATTTTTATTTATGTTTTCATATCTCAAAGTCTCATTTATGTGTGTACTTAATTTTATTTTTAATGCACCATTCATAATTTTCAGCAAA